CTTTGAGGGCCCGGTGTGAGCTGTGGTCACGGTCTTAGGGGGTGCGGCCACGATCTTGATAAGGTCCTCTGCAAAACAACAAAGGAATACAAGCATTAGTAAATAGGTTATGTACGTATCACAAGCATGATGAAGGGGTAAGTGATATGATGATAGCCCGGGGGGCCATGTCCTACCTATGTCGGCCACGGGGTCAGCGGCGCAGTTGGATAGCTGGAAGTGTCGGAGGAGCTGGTCATTAGTGGTCAGCTTCATCATAAGAAGTGGGCGCTCATTTCACTGGTTGATAATGGTCTCGTATGCGGTGTTTTGCTTCGGGTTCTTACATTGGTTCGGGGCCATGGGAGGAAAGTCGAAGGTATCGAGAGAGGGACACACAAAGAAGAATTTGTTTCTCCAATTGTGCATCTTCGATTTGGGTTGGTCTATGAAACGGATACGGGTGCGGCGCATGAGGTGGGGGGCGCTGCTCGGGTTTCTAAGGCAAATGCAATAAAAACATAACTTGGGTTTGAGATAACTGAGGTGGGCTCGACACACCATGATGAAGGTAATAAGGAGACGGATCGAGTTGGGAGGTAGTTGGTTCAGAGGTATCCCATACAATCGGCTTAGACGGAATAGGTCAGGATGTAGGAGGAATCTCATCCCCACGCTCACTTGGTCTAGGTAAAAGTTGTGGTAACCAGGTGGAAGGCTATCGAACGAGTCCTCGAGTTTAGGGATTCTAAGTTTTCAACCTTTCGGAAATTCAATTTTTTTGGTAAGAAGCACTATTCGGGTATCCGTATATGAGAAAATGGGGTTAGAGAGCATGGCTTGGGAGTGGACGACACTCTCTTTTGCTTTGGTGTTAGGATGGGTCGTCGGGCCCGGGAGAGCTAAGGCGTTGGGGGGTGACTCTTTGGGTGAAGAGTGTGAAGGCGAATGTGGGGTAGAGCTAGGGTTGTTCGTAGAGGTCGAACTAGTAGTGCCCGAAGAGGTAGAACTAGTGGCGCCCGAAGAGGTAAAACTGGTGGTGCCCGAAGAGCTGGAGTTAGGGTTGCTTGTAGGGAGGGAGCCTCGGTTACTAGGCGGGGTGGATTGTTCTAAGGTGTATAAAGCCGAAATAGCAAGCAAAAATGACACGAACAAAAAATAAATAAAATGCAAGTGTAAGGAGATGGTGCGCTACAACAACAATTCCAACAAATAAAGTAAAGTGACTGAAGGGAATAATAAAAATGAGACGAGGTGAGCATACCCATGAAAGATGTCGAGGCCGACATTGTGTATGATGTGATGAGTGCTCGTCGGAAGGGATAGAGTTCCGCGGAGGCACGTGTGTGGTCGGCGATGTTGAGAGGCTCGGCCGCGAGGTCGATGGCCGCGTAGCCGGTGAGTCGTGTGGTCGGTGGTGGCGCGTGTAATTGGTAACACGTGGGGTCGGTGAGGACCCGTGGTCGTTGGAGGATTGTGCTCGGTGAATGAAAAATTGCCGGGTAGAGAAGACTTTGTTGTAGAGAGAAATTTGTGTTTATGAAGAGAGGAAGATGAGATAATTTTTTAGGTG